CCCCAAAACCCCAAAACCCCTGAAGATAGTTATATTAAGAAAGTAGATTAATTTTAAGATATATTGAAATGATAAAATAGATATAGGATTATCTAAATTTAATATCGCGAAATACTTTATTATAATAGGACTAGCTTATAATTAATAATTTATAATCATGTATTATCGATACTCATGATTGATTTTAGGCTTCGTTTTATTTACTAACATTTAATGACTCCAGCTATTAATCAAAAATCTACTAATCTTAATCTGAAATTTCCTCATCTAAATTTTCTCCATCATCGATAAATTTTACTTCCTTGCTATGATTTTTCAGGAAGTGCTTCATAATCTTTAATCTGGGATATAATTTCTTGCATTCTGAACAACTAAGCTTCAGCTGTTAATGCATCCTAAAATGCTTGTCCAGGTTGCTCTTTTATGAAAAAGATCTCGAGCAGTATTGTACTGGGCAAGTAAAGGGTTTTTCTCGGTTGTGAATACGTAAGTGATCGAAGATATTTCCCCATTTCTTCAATACAATGTCACAGTGATCAAATGTGCAAATAAACATTGATTTCCAACGCTTTGAACTTTCCTAAAAGATTTTGACAAATATAAATGTTTTGAGTTTAGGAACGTGCTAGGCTCGAGGAATCTGCTCTGGCTCTAAATCCTCTCCCTTGTAAAATACTATCTTTTGCTAATCAGGTAATTTTAGCTTCCTTTTTATTTATATTTCTTTTGTCAAAGTTTTTTCATCATTATTCATCGAATTTTCTAGGGTTTATATTTATTTATCAGATGTCCCTGTTTGGATTTAAACAACTAAAATTGAATTAGTTTTTTATAAGACTTACCTTGTCTCTAATTAGGAGAAATATTTCCAGCATTAGCTGAACATTGGCATTAACAACTGCATTTATTGAGACTTTGTCCAATAGAATCATTTTTTTGAGAAGACTCATCTATTGTTTAATTGGGGATAGACTTATGGAAGATTTCTTCAATAAATATAGATATTGTGTTTACTTGCTTTTAAGTGGAATTTTAAGCTTCAAAGAAAGTATTTTTAGCTGATTCTATAATTTTGATGCCAGCAGTCATCATCTGAGTATTTTTGAAAGGCTAATAATTCTATTCAAGCAAGTCTTACATTAAAAGCACATTTTATACTCTATCTGGTTATTAAGGAAATTGAATCTAATCTTCAGAGTAGGGTTGAAGTTGCTAAAACAAAAGGCGTTATGGATCTAGTTAATTTGGGAATTAACTATTGTCCAATTGCATTTTTAGAGTCATTGACTGCATGAGTATAGTCAGAAATGAATGGAAAGATTTATAATAAATAATTTAAAATGATAGTTTAGAGTGTAAGTATATACATGAATTTAGTATGCACCACTAATACTATAATCCTATGACTATCTCAAAATTTCTTAATTATTGGGGTTTTGGGGTTTTGGGG